ACTTGTTATACAAGCTGTACACTCACTACTTTACATTGTAGCAAAGTGTCATTTCTTCAGTGTTGTCACATGAAAAGATATAATAAAATATTTACAAAAATGTGAGGGGTGTACTCACTTCTGTGAGATACTGTATAAATATATATGCTGTTCTTTTGTACTTTATATTCATCAAAAAATCCTGGCAAAATGTACCATAATCTCCACAAAAATCTTATTCTGCACAACATTGTTAATAATAAAGGTTTATTGAGCAGCAAGTCAGCATATTAGAATGATTTCTGAAGGATCATGTGACACTGAAGACTGGCATAATGATGCTGAAAATTCAGCTTTGCATTTTAATATTTTTAAATGTTTAAATTATTTTAAATTGTAATATTTTACAAATTCACCAAAGACTTCTTTCACGCGACCAAACTTTTGAACAGTAGTGTATATGGTTCTCAGATGTTAGATTGTGTTGGTAACTCATCAGACATCAAATAGTTTTATGTGTACCCACATTTTCTAATAATTGTTTTGTGCAATTAATGTTAAATTGGCTGGTGTAAATAGCAGAGGGACAAAAACATCCATCAGTTATAGAAGTTTAAAGGGGTCATATGATGCGATTTTCAAAAATCTACACGTTTCAGAAAGGCGGGGCATAGAGGAGAAACAATAATGTACAGTATGTGGAAAATAATGTGTTTTTTGAACCTTAAACCGCATAAACACATTTCATTACACCAAAAATAAACAAAATAATGTTCTTTTTAGCAGCATCATATGACCCCTTTAAAGGCAGTGATGATTGGTTAGAATACAGCTATATCTCTTTCTACCATCTCTCTGTCTCTTTCTTTCTCCCTCTCTCTCGACATGAAAACACTAACCCCTCACTGCGTTGTTGTTGTTCTGTCATTGTGGCCCGGCGACGGCTGTATCTCCAGGTCAGAGCAGAGGATTCGCCTTCGTCGAGTTTAATCACTTGCAGGAGGCCAGCCGCTGGATGGAGACCAACCAGGTCACTTCACACTGCACACACACATACACACTACAAGTCCACACGTGTATGGATATAATATACCCTTTACGCCTGGATTCCTTATGATTTCACAGATTTCGCCATCTGTTTAGAATGAGGTCTGTCTGTTGTCTGTCTAGCACAAGTATTGGACACTGCTACTAGTTGGGTATTTTCTGGAAATGCCCAAGTTCAGTATAAATTCAGCAGCATTCCCCTGAAAGCTCAGTTTGTGTGTGCTATTATCTCCCTTTTTCAGTCATCTGCCGCAGTGTCTCTTGGCAGCCGTAAGATCCTAGTGTGAGACCTGCCCTATATTTCGTGTCTCTCTAGTTGAATCCACATGAATTTGAAACGTGTTCCAAAATGAGTTCCAAAACAGTATGAGAATTGGTGTTCCGCTAAAGTATCTTCTAATTTATTAGATTAAATTATTACCAGTGAGTCCATAGATTAGCTGACCTGTATACTGAATATCAGTTTACATGATGGCTAGGAATAAGTTAATAATGTGATACAATGGCATTTATTATTTTTAAGTTTACTTATGGTACACTCATTACAGGGTCATTCCCCTCAAAATACCTGAAGTAAACCTCCTTGCTGAAGTGCTAGAGAGCATCAGGTCCACATTGCAGCTTATTCTGACTAAGAATCGCTCACTCAGACAGGAAGAGTTTGTTTGACAGTCATGTAAACCACAATTTAGTTTTTGTGCTGATGATGCCACAATAATAGACCATTTGGAATATAATCTGATCTAAATAATGATGCCTTTGTTTCCCCAAACAATTGTACAGAAAACTCTGGAGAAGGCTGAAGAAAACTGTAGACTTTGACCAGAAGTCTTCACAGAAGTAATAAGTACAAATTATTTCACATATAAAACCATTAGAAATGAACATGGATATCTAGTGTTCTTGCTGCTAATGGAGAGAGTAAATTATAACTGAATTTTAGTTTTTGGATGAACTATTCTTTTAAGTAAAGTAGCAGACCAATACCTTTCTAAACCCCAATTTGTTTCATGCTGTGCACCCCGATTTCTGGTATTTCTGGTATAGCAGCCAGATAGTCAGATTTGGAATTGGCTATTTCAGCCAGTGCTTGCCGTTTTTGCGTGTCGCATGATGAAGACGGTTCGTGAATGGACTGTGGTTGGTCTGTAGTCCGAATGGGATTTGAAATGACAAACTTTGAGTTACTAGCCCAGATACTGATTTTAACAATGCTGAGAAAATGTTATTTTTGTATTGGTTGAGAATGATGGGGTGCTATATAGCAAATAATTGAACATGAAACAATATCTAGGCATAAATGTTTTATGTACACAAGTACAGGGTAATGTTGCTTGTCTTAATATCAGACCTCTGAAGTGCTCAAAATCAGGTAATTGGATAGTTGTTGGTTTTCTTTAAGTCTTCAGTTATGTTAAGGATTGTTTATTAAAGGGATACTTCCTCCAAAATGACAATTTTTCTGTTAATGTATTCACTCTCAGGCCATCCAAGATGCAAGTGACTTTTTTTTTTTTTTTTCATTAGAAAAGAAAAGAAGATTTTTAGCTGAAACCGTGGTCCTTTGTGATGAAGTCAATGGCTAATGTCACTTTAAGAGTCAAGAAAACATATACAGGCAACACAAAATTAATACCCATGTCTCCTGCCGATATATTGAGGTCTTATGAAGTGAAACAATCGGTCTGTGCAAGAAACTGAATTATTTACAACATTATTATCTGTAATCCAGAGCCTCAAGAGAGACCACAAACAAATAATTCTTCTGAACTCCATCTTTTTAGTGATTTAAGCTAAATTTTTTTTTACTGTTTTACTAAAGAAAAAAGTCGCCTACATCTTAGATGGCTCGAGGGCGAGTGAAGTAACAGCTATTTATCATTTTTGGGTGAATTATCTCTTTAATGCCATTATGAAGTACAGCTTGAATGAGGGAAGTTGTCGTTTATTTTTTAGCATTGAGCTCCTCAAAGATTTATTTTTGGCTCCGGTTTAATAATACATTCAGGTCTTTATTCTACATGTCCTGTCATCGCTGTATGAGTTTGCTTTTGGGAAACTTTTGTCTGGATGTTTTATTTATGGCTTAATGTGGGTTTTCAGGGTGGGCAGGAGTGAGCGTGACATGTTTGTGTTCCCCTGAATGGGGGAGGTTGAGGCTTCTGGCTGGAGAGGGTGTCTGCACACACTCCCTCACACGCAGGCCGGCGCGTCTTTCTGAGTCCTCTCAAGCTGATGGTGATATCTGTCTTCCTCTCTCTCCTTTATCCAGTCTTCTCCTCCCCTCTTGTGTGAGATGAGGTCTCAAGTGTGCCAATTCCATCCTGAAAATGATATTTACCCTCTCTTATTCTTTTGTCCCCTCTCTTCCTGTGTCTCACTTTCAGAGAGTGCTCACTATATTGGGACAGCGTGTATCTATGCACTACAGTGACCCAAAGCCCCGTGCTAATGAAGACTGGCTCTGCAATAAGGTAACTTTCATAATGTTCTTTATTTCAGTTTAATTAGTTGTTGAATAAGTATGCCTTGGAGTTCATTTAAAAATGAAGATTCTGTCATCATTTACCATCATGTTGTTCCAAACCCATATGGAGATATTTTTATTGAAACATGAGAGATTTTTGTCCCTAAACTTTCAAAAAGTTCATAAAGACTAATTATAAAATGAATCCATATGAATTGAGAGGTTTAATCCAAGACTTCTGAAGAGACACTTTCAGATAGCATTGTATGATTGAACACATTTGATTTAGGCTTTTATTTACATATAAACGATCAATACATATACATAGAGCACAGATGTTTACTATATTTATATATTTAAATATTACAATTATATTGATGATGTCACAACAATAGATGAATGTTTTTGTATATTTATCAACATTTATGTCAGAAACAGTGATTCAAAAGTCTTGGATTAAACTGCTCGATTCACATGGATTACTTTTACGATGTCTTTATAAACGTTTTCAAAGTTTTGGTGGAATGGAGTTTCAATGGACAAACACTCTTTAATATTTATATATTAATATTTAAAACTACTGTTTAAAATATTAATTAAAAAAAAAAGTCTTTTTTTTTTTTTTCTTTTAAGTAAACAAAATGTTCTGTCTTGAGTTTTGCCAAACATCTGTTTTGATTGACAGTGTGGAGTACAGAACTTCAAACGAAGAGAAAAGTGTTTCAAATGCGGAGTTCCAAAATCAGGTGTGAATTCAAATTAATTTGTTGCAGTTATTTGTGACAGCATGGCAAAAACATGAATATAAATGTAAATCCTTGTGCATATGGCCCTTTGTTTTCAGAGGCTGAGTTGAAACTGCTTCTGGTGCCAAAGAGTTTACCTCTGGGGCAATTAAAGGACTCCGCTCAGGGTTTACTGCCCCTTCCTGCCATATACCAGACAGCAGCTCCACTAATCAACTTAAGTTCCTCGTCCCTGGCTGCCGAGGTGGCCAATGACAGTAAGTTATACACACATTTATAGGGATAGTTCACCCAAAAATTAAAATTCGCTGCTAATCTACTCGTCCTCAGGCCATCGAAGATGTAGAGGACTTTTTTCTTCAGTAGAACAGTAAAGATGATTTTTTTTTTCATAATAGTCGTTGGCTACCGTCACTTAGAGAGCCAAAAAAGCATATCACGCAACACAAAATTAATACCCATGGCTCCTAATCATATATTGAGGTCTTATGAAGTGAAATGATCAGTCTGTGCAAGAAACTGAACGTTATTTACAACATTATTACTGTAATCCAGAGCCTCAGGCAAATGGTCCGGAGTGCTGTTCGGTTTGTGAACGGATCTTTCTTTTGAACCAGTTCTTTTTGGTGCACTAACCAGTTCACTAAATCGGACTGAACCAACTGAAGCAGTTCACGGCTTGAGCAGCACAGGTCTACAATTTATTCAATCAAACCTCTTTTTCTGGCGTGCCTGACAGTCACTATGACTCAAAGTCCTATGATGCTGATTTTTGCCAACTCATTCAGCGCTTCAGTTACTCCAACAGTCACTGAACTGAGGAAACAGTTTGACTCGGACCGAAGACCAATGAGCCAGATGTGTGAACTGCGCAAATGAAAGTTTTGATGTTTTTTTATGGTTTATGTAAAAAGATGAGCTAATGAAGTCAGGTTTATTCACTTTATATGCTTTAGACAAGTAAAACACCTGCTTTTTACATCATTATTGGGTGCTTTGGGTATACGTGACGTCATTGCGTGATTACGTAAATGAATCAATGATTTGAACTGGTTGATTAAAATAAACAGTCCAAAAGAACCAGTTCATGGAAAAGAGTCGGATTTCCCCATTGTCCAAAACTGCACAGATCATTTTGCTTCATAAGACCTCAATATATCATCAGAAGCCATAGGTATTCATTTTGTGTTTGACTCTTAAAGTGACGGTAGCCATTGACTTGCACTTTATGAATCACCAAGGACCACGGTTTCAGATGAAAATCTTCTTCACTATTCTGCTGAAGAAAAAAAGGATGGTCTGGGGGTGAGTAAATGAACAGCAAATTTTCGTTTTTGGGTGAACTATGCCTTTAACACTTTCATCTGGGGTAAGACACTGTATTCCCATCTATCCTCTACAGCTCTGATTTTGAGGAATCTGGGAACCCATACAACGCTGGAGGCCATTTTGTCTGCTCTGGCACCATTTGCTACTCTCTCACCTTCAAATGTACGGCTCATCAAAGACAAACAGACGCAGCTCAACCGAGGGTTTGCTTTCCTGCAGCTCACTACTATTGTGGTAAGACGATGACACTAGTTCTGTTAGCGCTGTATCGTGGCTACAAAACGTATGTGTAAGACTAACACGAACAGGTATTATATTGTGTGTTTTAGGAGGCTTCACAGCTGCTTCAGATCCTCCAGTCCCTGCAGCCTCCTCTCTCTATCGATGGAAAGCTAATTTCTGTGGAGTTTGCCAAGGGCTCCAAACGGTATGAGTTCATGTTGTTCTGATACTGATCCTGCAGCATAATGCTGACGTCATAGTTGTGCAATAGGAAAATGCAGTGAAGCCACACATGTGAGAGAATGTTTACAGAACACCTTATTACTGTAATAATGCTTTACATGTATGGGGTAGAGTTTTATGAGTTCTCTCTCTGTCTCTCAGTGATGTTTTTCTGACAGATGGCAATCGGGTGAGTGTGGCGACAGTAGCGAGTACAGCTATAGCTGCAGCTCAGTGGGCCGTCACGCAGGTACCCACAGCACAGGAAAATTAGGCTTGATTAACAACATAAATACTAATATGAATGAAAAAATTAACTTGCGAATGTTGAATGGTTTAAAATGAAAGTGCACACAGTGGCAGCAGACTAAATTAATGTCAGTTTATTCTGCTTATGCCATAGTTACCACATGTACATCTGTCTACCTGAAGATGTTTTTGGGCTGTGACTGTTACTAGTTAAAATCTGTGATATGTAACTGTTATATTCAAACTTGGTTCTATTTCATCTTAACCACTCAGAATCAAGAAAGTTTAGAAAAAAATATTGTTTGTTGAATATTACCTCAATACTGTACTAGCCATTTCAAGTAGTGATGCACTGATTTTTTTTTTAAGAAAACACTGAAACCAAAATGTAAGTTTCAATTTGTCAAATTCTGAAAATGAAAATAAATGAGTAGTTAGTAGTTTATCCATGTTGTGTGCATAAAATAGACAGACACAGTCAAAATGTGCCATTGGAGAAGCACAAATTAATGACATGCATTTAATTTTTGGGTGAACTATCTCTTTAAACGTCACCAATTGACCAAAAGGGTGGCGTTTAAAGAGAGAGTTCACCCAAAAATGAAATGTATGTCATTAATTACTCACCCTCATGTCGTTCATTTTTGGGTGGACTATCCCTTTAATTTGTGCAATTTTGACCCTCCTAAATGGTTCAGGTGAAACCTGTGGTTTTCATAATTAAAAATTACATATATTTGTGAAAAAGTCTTTAGTTCATTAGTTATTAAAAAAAATCAATGTTGAGATGGTGACCACTGGTTATTGTTCCAGACGGCCCAGCTCTCGGCAGCAGCTCAGAGCGGTGATATCGGTGTGCACCAGCAGGGGGCGGCAGCAGCTGTGTTTGGGCAAGAGGCCGTGCAGGTTGTCAGTGCAGAGACACAAGCCTTTAAAGGGCGAGTGCCTGCGCTACTGACCAGCCACACAACATTAGGTGCTACTGACGGAGGAACAGCCTCTACAGGTATAACCACAGCTCACTTACATCTGCTGTAAGCACACGAGTCTTGTATTGCAGTAAGTGTGAATCTGTGTTTGATCACAGGAGAAACAGGTGCTACCTCCATATTGGCGCTCGCAGCATCCCACACCCAACTTATCACCACTACAACCTCCACACAAGCCCATCAGGTAGTTTTCTGTTATTCCTGTTCATTCAGAAGTTGATTTACTTAGTTACAATTAAGTTTCAAGCTTTTGCTTTTCTGAAGCACTAATTGTCTTTCTGTATACTGTGTGTGTGTGTGTGTGTGTGTGTTTAAAGGCCCCGGTGGAAATCATTGGGAAACCTCAGCCTGCTACCCCAAACCAGCCTGCCACACCTGGAACCGCTCTGGAGTGCCAGCCCTGCAATTGCAGCTGTGTGCGGAATTATCTTCCTTGCGTGGGTTTTGCGGCGGCACGGCTCCAGTGTGGATGAATCTGATGTTTTGAGGTGAATGTGTGGCTGTCAGTCACCGCAACGGTGTGGATACTGTAACGTTACTTAGGAATCACAGATTCTAGCCTACGTCTTGGAATGTATGACCCAAATAAGAATTTTCACCGGATATTGTCATCAGAACAATTAAGTAACAAGTCTGCCACGTTTGCTCTGACTGAGGAAAAAAGCATTACAATAAATCACGCTACCAATGGTGATTAAGTGTAACGATCAGTTAGCTCATATCACATCAAACCGTGCAAATTATTATTATTGTTATACTTTGTTCTTAAATTGTTAATGTTAACAACATCGGTATTGCCTATAGTGAGTATTAGTGTGTAGATTTCAATTTCTGTACAGTCTAATCTCTAATTGTCATACCATTCGAATTCCATATAAAGAAATTATTTTAAACCAAAAAGCAAATTATTCTTCCTTCTAACTGGTTCTCTTTAAAATTCAAATCTTGTGTAATCCCAGGCTATCTGTAATCAGATGCACATTTAAAACAGGAATAATTTAATTTCAGTCACAATCCGCCATCAAAATGATACATTTAATTATTCTAGCTGCTGTGAGAAAAGGCTATAAACAATCGGCCACCTGCAGGATCCTCACATGCGATAGCCTAGCAGCCGGGACAACTTCTTTAAGTTTACAGACGTGACGTAATGACGCAGCAGCATGCTCAGCATTTCCCGCGAAAACCTACCCGTACCACTCAAATTAGAAAACATGATTATAAGCTAACCGTTGTGAATCGGGCTAAAGTAAGGTGATAGTTTTGAACACTGGCTGTTTATGCACTTGCCCAAATATTGATTTTGGATCATTTTTAACCAAAAAAAGTTACGGACTGCAGCTTTAAAGATCACGGACACGATTCAAACACCAACGTTCTATTCCTAAATTACAGTGATTCGTCTGTTTCATTCCTCAACCTTTGATGTGTGATCACAACGTTGAGGTTCGTCCTTGCAGCGTACGATCACAGCAGTGTAATTTGAACATTTAAATCTGTGTTTGCGCTGCCGCTGACCTAAAGAGAGCAGCTGTCATGTATATGAATGAAACCGTTTCAGTCTTTTCAACCACACAGTATCATTATTTCTGTGTTACAAACATTCAAATAAGCACAGAAGTACTGGGATAAAAGTTTATAGTTCGGGTATAAACTCTGATGTGTACGGTAGCGTTCAAATCACATTTTGAAAGTAATTTGATACTTCAAATAAAGATTTATTGATTACATTGTTACGCCAATGGGGGCGAAAAGGGGCTGTTAAAATGTTTGTCTTTGAATCATTCAAGGGATTCGTTCAAAAACGCTGATTCATCCAGTAATAAAACAAGTAAATCTTGAGTGAGTCATTGAATCATTCATTCAAAATTACATGTGCTTTTGTTTAGTTGTCTGTTTTTTTTTCTTCTTCTTCTTCAGAATCGTGAGAACCACAATCTCCATTAAAAAACTCAATTTATCCAGAATCTTGCAGCTCTGTTTTGCACATGAACAGCTCTTAAACGAGTCCAGTTTTTATGTAGCCTGCTGATTTTTTTTTTATGGTATTCAGCTGCATCTAAATGTGTTGCAGAAAGAGACACAGAATAAATATGTTTGATATCATTTTTAATCGCATTGGAATCAAAACTGGGAATCGGAAAGAATCGGAAGCAATAAGCAGAATTGGAATTGATAAAATTCAAACGATACCCAACCCTAGTTCCGAAGATAAACGAAGGTCTTGCGGGTTTGGAACGACATGAGGGTGAATAATTAATGACAGAATTTTCATTTTTGGGTGAACTAT